ATATATATATATATTATGCCCGAGTGTTGTGTCTTCTTTCGTCTTCAGGGAAGTCTCGGGACGCTACATTAACCATCGATTACCTTGTTAGCGGTCCTCGATGGGATCGAGACAACTCGGAGCTTGGTGCCCTAGTTTACAACTGATACCCCAGTTTGTAACACAAAAGGTAACTCTGACAACGTAAGATCAATAAAGGGGAACTCAAACTCTATTTTTAGTCAAGATTGGGTCGGAGCAGCCACTGGGTTACTTTAGACAGGTTCACGAATTGACCTAGATGACTAGGCCTCCTTAGCGAGCAAACAGCATATAGGTTAAGGATAAATAAATCAAGGACAAATGGGTGCATTGAATATGGGTGTTAGGGGTGAGTGGAAGGATGGACCCGGTTTGTGCAGATGGATCGAGAATGAAATTGCATTCCGGAGATGGCCGAAGTTCCATCCTCGTAATTTGCCTCTTAAGCATTTCAGGACGCAGCTAGCAGCCGGAGACAAACATGGTGCTTAAGCACAGTCTTACGACCACTTTCGGTGGCACTCATTCAACAACTACGAGCTATAAAAGTGGACTAGACAGAATAAGGGGCAGGATAGCGGGGTAGCTAGATGAACACAGTCTCCGTCATGAGAAGTCTTACCAATCTCAAAGTTTGTCTTCATTTGAACCATAGCGCTGCATCGTAGAATGGTTCGGGTTCATTGAATAGCAAGATAGCTTCCTGACACGGCTTGGTTAGTCGGTGACTACGATTGTGAATCGGTGCGAGCAACGCCGCTACCGTTCAGACGAAATAGTCAAAAGCAGCCCGAGCTGGTCTCTTGAAGACCAAACCATGCAGCTGTAGTGGACATTCCCCACTTTGATAATCAGCTATCAACTAACCCGTACGGAGAGAACGAACAAGGAGAGAATGATAGCTGTTGAGCGCCTCCAATTTATTCACAATTGCGCACATAAGGAGGATGATAAGTTGACAGATATCACCGCTAATCAAATTCATGAGGGGGTACCTCATTTTCTGTTTCCGCCGCCTCTGCGTCGATATCTACCTCTTCTACCACCACCGCGAGACCGAATTGGGCCAAAATGGCGTTCAAATCAGCGACTTCCTCTTCTCGCGATGGTACAGTCGGCCACAGTGTGGAGAAAAGGGTATTTAAGAAACCCATGATCCCACCCTCCGTGTCTCCACGTTGTCGCCTAAATAAAAATGAAAAGTCAGGGATACGGTGAAAATCTCATAAAAGAAGACAGAAAGTAAAAATTTCAATTTGACAAATGCACGTGAAAAGGCGTCGCAACGTGCCGGGACTGCGCACTGTGATACGTATTGAGCCCGAGCACGCATCGTGTTGAGGGGGTACTCAATTTGGACACCAGTGAACAAGATGATTAGCAATGATGAAGATAAAGCTCTATACTGACAGATCCATTCATGAACGTTCTGCGATTTCAAAAGCTCGGCATTTATTGAGTCTTAGAAAGTCCCAGCGATACTGACAAGTCTTTCCACATCGATTCTTCTAATACAAATTGAATGCTACTGAGATGCGTATATATGTAGCGGGGAACCATTTTGAAAAATAAACGCATTCCTCTCTCTTAGCACTTGTACTTTGTCTTTAACAAAATCGAAGGGCTCGAAGTGCCCTGTAAATGATTCACCTTTCAGCCTCCGGATCGTACGTGTTGATGGAATCAGCGGGTGGGAAGGGGTCCAGCGGATAGATTTGTTGGCTGGCAAAGGCCTAAAGCACAAACCATCAATATAATCCTGCTTAGTGATCCTCCCAATTAGCCGCGCTAAAATAAAAGGAGGTAATATTCAGATGTTTTACCGGAGGAACAAGGGGAGGGACATCAGGAAGATCTCGAAGAAAGATATAGCGAAGAATGTTGCGAGGTGGTTGAGGGTAGAGCCGCTTTCGTCTGTAATATGGAAAGAGTGGGTCCCAAGAACAGAGCCTTGAAAATACATCAGCTATCCGCAATTCGCTCTTCTATGGTGACATTCTCTGTGCTCATCTGTTGGTTAGTAATAAACCTTACTTCAGACTCGTACGTCTATTAACGTCTTCAGAATGAATTCGGACGCTAAGCCATGACCTGAGAACATTATGGACTCAATCAAAACTCACAATAAAGCTTTTTTAAAAAATAACAACATTACACATTTGCAGACTTCTAAAAAAGCCAAATTGGGTGATTTAAAATCAATTGAAAATGCCACTATCAGCCGCCCGCCTACCCACCTCTCTGAGTAAACAACGAGCCGTTCGTCCGGTTGGACATTGCGCCCATGAGTAGAGGCGTCATCAGCGTCAACGACAATGGGTTCCACGAGACCGAGAACCACCACCACATTGGCTTCCAGCCAGGGGAGGACGTCGGGCTCCTGCCAGTGATAGCGCGACTGTGACACATAGAGGTCGAGCAGACGACTCAAACTCTCACTTTCCCTACAGGGAGGAGGAATAGCAATCACTACGAACATAGTGCGTCCAGACATCTGTCATATTGCGATATGACCTCCGCACCTGTTGTGTATAACTCCTATTTCTATTTCCGTCCGTGATTCCTCTAGCATTTTAACTAGTTTTGGAAGAGTGAAATGAACGGAGTTAGCCACGACTGCAGTATGGGAGTTTTCACCACAAACTAGGAACTTTAATTTCACACGCATATACAAAAAGGCATGCGACCGTGATGGCACTAAACGAGAGTAAATACCACATTTTCCTTTTACACACTGATAGTCCGAACACATTTCGTGTGTGGGAGGCGACGTCAATCCAGACACCGCTAATAAAGGTAACAGAGTAATAGTAGTGCGTGCGTGGAGGGATGCAACAGAATGGTGGAAAAGCTGAAAATCCGTGGATACACTTATCCAAAGAAGACTTCAAGCACATTACGGCACGTTAATGGGACACTCAGTCGTGTGGTTGTCAACGGTAATTCCGGCTACGGTGATTCCGCCCCCAGTTCACTCAACCCAGAAGAAACAAATCTTCAGCAGGATGCATTGAAAAATTGTTCTAAGCTTTCCAGATATCAGTCAAAAGTTGATGGGATAAGCGCACAAACATAGCAACAGGCCATTCAGAAGAATGAGTGCACCTTACACTCCTTAAGGTTTTTTTATAAGCCAAAATGTCGTGGTTGGATACAAAAGCACTTTTTGCTTATATATGGGCTGTTTTCAGACGCCTTCAGCTCATAACTTCTTTGAGGACAATCTGAGCACCCAAGTCCCCCAAAGCATATTCCACAATACTTAGATCCCACCATTCCAGAACCTAAAGGTGAATGGCATTCTATACAGAGCCTGACAAATTAACCGGCTTTCCAGACTCCCACAAATCGACATTCATATTACTCCCTCGCAGTTCTTCTGTACACGATAATAGTAGATCTGCTTTAAGGCTCTTGCGCCTTGTAAATCCTTCGAGAGAAGCTCGAACATTAAAATTGATTAAATACACTCGACACAACCCTTCAGAGACTATGAAAGCTTTCATTGACGAATTAAATAAGTATTACACAGACAACACAGACGGCCGAAACTGGGGAGACAGGAATGTGGAAATCTCAGTGAAATCGAAGTAACTTGATAACTACTTAAATTTTAACTCCCATTTGTCAATTCAGTGACAATTTCATCGAACGATTTTAAATAACCCACTAAATACTTAGAAAAACAGCGAACGAATAAGAGTCGAAAGCCGGGCATTACCTACACTACCAAACCCAAAAAGCCGATTGGAATCGCGGCAGGATCAGAACGAGGCAAGGAGGTAATCAGGTACGAAAAGTCAAACAACTCAAGAAAGTATTTCCAGATACTTTATCTTTGAAATAAAGATTCCCGTTATAATTTACCTCTTTTTCGCAACAAATCATAATTATCCGAACTCCACCTGCGTAAGCTTGGATTTCGAATAAAAAATCTAACCTCCAGTCACCTCCACTTTAATCACTAGCTTAGTCTTCGGAATGTCTATTTCGTAAGGGATTGCCTAATGCAAGGCAAAGGCAATGATCATCAAAGGGAGGAATATTCTCACAGGCCAGTTTTGCGATATTAGATATGGCGTTATATTGTGCTGTTAGAGCTGGACTCTATTCCGATCAATTGAATAGCCCTGTCCAAGTACGAAGAAGTTTTATTGCGCACGTTCAGGTTGTGGAGAGTAAGTAGGTCTCAGTTGTAAATGTGCGATTTCGTCAAGTTAACAATTCATAGTGAACAGTTGCGTTTGAAGTGTACCCCACGCAAATCAAGCGTAAGCTTGTGAAAACAAAAGGATGCCCACCCTGGAATTGTGGAGCAAAGAGTGGGTAGCTTGGAGGTAGTCAATGTTGCAGACGTTCGCTTAGAAAAAGCTGGAATAAAAAAAGCCCTTTTTTGCCACCTGTCAGTCAGCAAACAGACTAAAATATATGACATGTTTATGTAGGGTGAATTGGTGAGCAAATTGAAGGTCTTTTAGGCCTATTGCTATCTGTTAACGTGTGTAGTTCAGATCCAGCTGTTTCAAAGCATTCACCACTTTGCCTGTTGTTGTCGGTGTAAATGAATCGTTCGACCACTTATGTCTAGCACGATTCAAGGGGTGTTGACATGTCAATGATCACGTCATTCTCTTTTCATGATGAAGAATAGAAGATCTTCCTTAGCGTGACCCATCTTTGAGTGGTTCCTTGTCACGATCGAATTGTTTACCTTGTTTATGAGGCATTCTGTGACTACGCCTTCCCAAAAATGTTGCACAAATCTGAAGGGCGGTTTTCATGGTTTTGGGACTGAGTGAAACTGGGTTCGTAAGGCAAACAAGCTGATAAGGCAAACCCACACTTAATAATAGTAGGGTTTAAAATAACAAATAATGGTGGAGAATGCACGCCTACGCTTCATGATGCATCCATGTAAGCAATCACGAGTATTCTAAAATCCACAAAGTTACATCAAGGCAACGCAGTGAGCCATGCCGGAAACTGCAATGACTTTTGAGGTCATCCGATACTTTTGAGCATAAAACTCGTTCAAAGCAATTTTAATAGTGGGTAAATGCGATACACTAAAGAAAACAAGACGGGAAGCAATAAAAAGGAACCATATTGCCTTGCTAAGATAGTGGTTTTTCATAAATATGCTTCTCGACTGGCGTACCTCAACGCTATGAAACATCATTCAGCCTTCGGTAAGAAAATAACGGAAATAGGCAGACTTACGAGAGACGAATCTCCTTGCCAAAGAGAACTGACTTGTCCAGGTTGTCGGTCCCACCCACCTTGACTTGATGCATCAAACGGGTAAGAAAACCGGGAAACATGATTAGAGCATCTTGAAGCTATAAACGAAAAAGAAATCTCTTTTTATAAGTTCAAAGCTTGACAATCATGCAAACAAATAAATTATACGTACGTTAGATTCAAGGCAATGTAACTAGGTCAAATTCCTTTATTCTATGTCCTTAACAGGTTCATCAGTATGCACAAAGCGTCTAGGTGTATTACAGCTAGAATGTGACAAAAAATAGATGGAACTTTCCGTAGCTCAAAACAACAGATTACGTTTACTTTGTAGTTTCAAACCCTACCAATCTATTCGCGGCAAATGATCTGTTGGAGATACAATCACTATTAGTGATAATCCGGTACAACTAGAATGTGTGGAATGAAACTAGATAAGGCCTATTCTCACAACGACAAACCTCCTACTTCCAATGCTCAAAATACAACAGGACGGTGCTCCTTTCGCTTAAGTGAAATTAACGCATAAATTTGGCCATCGGTATTGTGGCAGTGACAACTGTTGCCAAAAATCTGCAAGAGAAGCCTGTTTATCGGACGGAGATGGCAATGTAGTGAACTGAGACACAACCATATCCAGCCCCAATTCTGAAAACAATATTTTAGCAACCTTAGACCCATTGTTTTGCAACGAAACGATATGATAACAAGCATCACGCACCATCTTATCAATTTCGTCGGAATCAAGGAGATCTTCACTCTGTTTTCGTTTGCGCAGTCGATTTCGTTGCAACCACCGCACGAGAGGCATCGAAAAGGCAAAGTTTGGGAGAAGGTTGAGGTTCCGCTTTGGCTACAAGAGGAAACAGAAATAGTGATAGCGAGCAGCCATCGCCTACTTCTACAAGCTCAAACCAACTTACATTCCAGGTATCGTAGAAACTGATGAGAAATTCGTACTCTTCCGTTGAAATGGCCAAGAAGTCAATGGCTAGAATGATTGCTAGTGGATCATTCTCTGGATCTAGCCTAGAGAGAGGAGTGATAACTTAGATACAGCGAGTTCCAACCTAAATTGAGATTTTTAGTTTCACACGCCCTCAAAAAGTCGCAGTATTATTTGTCAAGTGTGTCATCCGCGTACAACTAGTAATTAGCGTATATTTTGGGACGGTTAGCCTGTGCTTGGCACCATGACGGCTTCTAGCTTTTGACTAGCACAGAATAGTTGAGTCTCTCACTGAATTTATGGAGCGCTTTGACAAGAAAGTTCAGGATTTTCTAGATCATACCGATACGTGGAACGAAACCTGGACCCCTAACAGATACCTCGGAAGTCAGAATTTCAGAAAAGATGAAGAAGTGAAGTGAGTCGGCCCAGGATAGTTCAGATGCACTGGCAAATCGTCTTGAGTCAAAGTTTCCCTGCTTTTAGTTAAATTAACCTGGGATAATGCTTCGTGAAGACGAATCACGTATCTTCTACCAGCAGTTGCCTGCATGCAAGCATAATTAAATAAACTTAAAGCTGTCATGAAACCGAGAGCGTTAATAGACCCATTAGTCTCACATTCAGCTTCCCCCTGATGTCTTCAACAGTTAGTTATCTAATAATCTTGGAGATCCTCAATTCCTCGTGTTCGTGGTGTGATGGGTTAGGCATCTGGAGCGCTCTGCATTCATCAAACCAGTAATGCAGACAGCTTCGAAATTCAAAATCCATAGACGGCTTATTCCCACAATGCATGCACAAGCCAGCGGAGACAAGCGTGTCCCAGGTAAACCGATCGTCTACCCACAGTACTTAGCGCATGATAGAGCGTCATTCTTTTCCGACTTTAACAAAAGCCTTTAGCCTTTCTACGAGGGAGAACTGGACACATGACCCCTTTAGACACGATCAATTACAAATCCCTCTCTCCAGCCTTCAAATAGCATAGCATAGATTGTCACAAATCATTAAGCGCTAAAATCGGCGCAATTCAATCGGCCTAACTCACAGAAGTAGCACCTTGCTATACTCCAAAGCCGAGCGATAACAACTTCGCGAGGCAACGTAGAAGAGGTAGCGGAAAATGGCAACGAAGAAGCTTCGATTCTCTTGCACCCTGTAGTCCATACGGCAGGAGGCAGTAGCGAAGTTGAAGGTCAGATGGAATGCCGATTGACAGGCATAGAGAGCGCGCTCTATCATGTCCACCGCCACCTCAGATTGGTCCTGATGCATTAGGTAGTCGCTGAGGTGTAGTAAGGTGTCCACATGGTAGGGAGCTTTGGAGAGGACCATCTGAGATTACGAAATAAGCATAATCCAAGTTACTCTGAGTGAATAACGCAATTGATAGAGAGCTTGTGTAAATTTTCTACCTATTTGATTAACAAGTGATATGACTTTTTAAGCAAAACCCTCTGTGACGTAGAAAAACACACACCTCCTCACAATGGGAGAACTCGTACTTAAGATCAAACTTCCATCAATCGGCTAGGCACCCATCTACCACACATTGCACCGAAAGTGAGACTGCAAAGAATCACGGAGTATGCAAACCTAACACCTACACTCGCCTTCCCAGTAGAAGTTTCTTTTGTTTTCGTGAATCAGCTCCAGAAGTGATCTATTCATCGCGATTGTAATTGTAACTAAATGGGTACCAAAAGATGCATCTGCAAGAACTGTAGGTACCGAAGCAGTAGTGCCAAGTAACCGCATCTACTACTCAAATGCAATTACATTAGAAATTATAACACTGCTCATAAACGACGATTACAGCGAGTTAAGTCAACGGGAAGTTAATCATTTATGCAGACTAAAGCCATCAAGTTGAAACTCGGTAGGAAAACGTAACAGGCTTGAGAGGATTAGCTTGCATGCATATACGAATAGCAAAATACGGCCAATTGTTTGCTTGATTCAGCAGCACCGAGGTTCCATTCGCAAAAGGTTATTTATCAGAGCATGTTACACCACTACGGCCAAACTTAACCTGCTTAGGCTCGAGTGGTTCAACCAGTTAAGCCTAGATCAGGTAGTAAACAGCACCATCCGAAGTCCGATACGATTCATCCTATTATCAGTCGGTAGAATTCGTGAAAATTTTGCCTCGTTTCTCCAATTCGGACTTTGTCATTGCTGTATTACATAGGTCTTCATACATATGCATTTTGACGCTACAATGGCGCTCTAGCCGAAGAGACCGGTCTCATATGCCTCGTGATCTCAAGTTAGCTCAAACTTCAATGGGTCTTAGACGAAGACGTCTCGACTCTGATAGTCTATTTTTCATGAGATCCTTTGTGATCATAAAATCCGATGGACTAATCGGGGTCTGTGCTGATCTTTCAACCAGCCTCAATGCTGACCTCCAAGATTACCATTACCTACACCCTGTCCGTGAAGAATTGTGTACCATAGTAAATGATGAAAAATCCCTTGCCAGACTGGCTCTTGCTGATGTCTGCTTTCGGACTGAATTCAAGTCAGATCGTCCCAAACAACCAGCCATTAACATCGCGGATTGCTTCAATGCATCCAGCCAACCCTAGGAGTAAAAATTGCTTCAGCTACTAACGATCAACTAAAAACGGTCTGCACAGTACATTCACCATTTGTCCGTTTAGCACATAATGTAAACACACTCCTTCTATAACGTCATTTACGGTAAGATGAGAGGTCATCCTCACTCCAGAGTAGCAGCATATACTGGACTCCAAGCCGGACAGAGTTGATCAGGTGACGTCCTAACACAAGAAAATAACTCTCCCTTCAGTCTTCACCATTTTTAACACCATGAAGGGGCCAAAACTTTCCGAGGGCATATAGACAGTATACGGTAGGCATTTCTAGTCTAGAGTTTGCGGTCACAAACAAAAAACCATGCTTGGTAATTTCTGGGAGGGTTTAGAAAGTAGCTAGGGTGAAGATTCAAGCACAAAAGCACTTTTACATTGCTAATTATATTATTTAATAAGTCTAAGGATGCAATGGGATCGGACTTACATAAAATGAAGACACCTGGAGAGCACATTAGGTGGCAGTGACTGGTGTACTTTTCTTGTAGATTCTTCAGGTAATTTTGCCACCATATCGCCCAAAATACAAATTTTCTAGTTTTATAAATGCAATTCCTTCAGTTCTTTTAATCACAAAGCTAGGGTGATCCACTACCGTGAAAACAAGGTCAATTTTATTTATCACCACTCACTGAAAGCGTGTTCGGGTCCATCATATCCTGGAGAGCGTAAAAAGCCTTTTGTTGCTTCGAATAGTCCTTGCTGTGTGCGAACGCAAACATGCAGCTACCATCAGTATCACTAGAGGTTTTCATCTCCAAACCACATTTAGCCAATGGGGGCCACGTGGCTTTTGGTCGAACCAGCTGACCAAACGGAAGAGAATAGTGTGCTCGAGCACCCGCTGCCAAGCTGGATCCGAACTTCCGCTGCAATTCAGCTCGGTAGTCAAGGAATTTTCTATTCACAGCCAGAAGATCCGCGGGTCGCGTGGAGGCCGCTACGGGCACCTTAGTAGTTGACAATTCCCGGTTAGAGCAGCTTTGTCGAGCCGCTTCTAACAAGATGTCATCGTCGGTGATTTCGGGGCTCTAAACGGGGAAAAATAATTACGACTTTTCACACTTGCAAGTTTTGACTTAGTGGCTTTCCTCTTATTCCTTTTTGTCCTTTTTTTGCGTTTTGGAGTTTGGAAGGGTTGTTGCGTGACTTTTTCTTGGGCGGAGTCGCTGTCGGAATCAGGTGCGTCCCCTTCCATCAGTTCCGGAATGTCAACCTACAAGATGTTATAAAACCTGCATACAATCACATCTTGTCTGCGTGTAAAATAGGACAAAACTGCCTTCACCATGGAAAATATAGATTGCTTTGGTGCAGGTGTCCATTCTTCGGCATCCTCCACTTCAACAGGCTCCTCCGAAGTATTTGAGCCGACCAGTTTTTTGAGCGCCCGAGACGACATCCTTAGGCGCGTTAAATGTAGTCAGCCTTCCGACATTTATTATACACAGTCTTGTCACTATTGGGCTAGACCAATATCAAGATAATTCGCTAAAGCATATTACTAGAACTTAAGATAGCACAAGTCACAATTCTGTAGATATTTTGGCTTTACGCTTAGACACAAGTTTGGCCAAGTCCTTCTGGGAATTAGAGAGTGTGAGAGCTAATCTTCACTATTACTAAGAATGGCACTTTCGTAACTGTTATGTTTTAATCCGAGTTTTTCTTGCTTGTTCCAATATGACTGCGGTAAACATAGTTATGGAAGTCCTAGTTGAACCCCATTCAATGTTCTACATTTTCACTTTTATGAAGCTGATAACCTAGATAAGTGCAAAATTGGAGGTTTTATAATTAACTGACAATTGGCATGCATTCCCGGAACTATGAATCAAAGTTACTTTTGACTATGCCCTTTTCCTACGTTGTAGAGAACTGAATGAAATTATCCATGAGTCAGTTTTTTGACGTCAAATTCGAGTTTTCAAAAAGTCTGATGCTCGGCAATATGATAAATAAGACCGCGCATTTTATCATCCTTAAAGTACTATAACATTAAATGTGGAGATAGTAAATGATGCGCAGAATTCACTTTGACTCACTTTACGCATTACTCAGTGAATTTAAAATAAACCCTCCGTATGTTTTCGTCCGTTTTCAGTCTTTTGTGTGTCAGATCTTCACATCGCCGCTCATATCCACAACTCTACTTCAAACCCCTTTGACCTCTTTTATTCATCATTTAATAAAAGTCTTATTACTTTTAGCCCAACAGAAGAAAATTTTATTTTCAAAGCGATTGAGCCTCATTCCACTCTCGTAGGCATGTCTACTCTCATAAGAATATGCGCCATATTACATTTGTTTGAATGCTTTTCATATCCACCTCAGTGACTTCTTTCTTCAACAATTGAATTTCTTCACCCGAATGTCTCCATAACTTCTACCAGCTGGACCACCTAGAGGCGGAGGGTAGGTGTCACCGTTGGCGCTGACGATGAAACCAATTTGAGGCATTGGTGGTGGTGGAGGTGGATATCGACGAAAATCGTTCGACAGTCCACTCACAGCTATGGGGCGATGCGCGTTAATTTCAACGGGAGCGCTACAACCATTCACTGGATGAAGGATTCGAGTTGAGTCGGAGATGAAAGCAGGATTCGCATTGGCGGAATTGATGGGACCTTCACTACTAGTGGCTGAAAGGGGAACTATGAAAGGGATGGATTGAGATGTTGTTAGACACCCTTCCAGCGTATCTACTGGTTCATCTATGGAAGACATCAACACGTCCTCCTTACATTTTCTTATTTCTATATTTTCTGCCATAGCAGATCTGACTGATTCTCCATATATATGTCTGCTCTTCTAGTCGCCTCTATACAAGTCTGTCTACCCATCAATACTAGCATCGGAAGTGAAGTATTTTTCATGTTATCCGTCTATCCACCTAATCATTTAGATATTTCACTCATTTCAGACCGACCCCTCTATCTCATGGTTTAACTCACTGACCCTCCATTTACCTGCCTATCTGACAAGTTAGCAGTCTACCTAATTATTTAAAAGTTAAGTCTTATTTTAGCAACTTTTCACTGACCATGAGATGGCTGTGGACTGGCCTTTAGCACGTGGCGTGAACTGGGCCTCCGACACGATGCTCGTCGATGCATTCGCGCTACTTCCAAAGCCGATGGGCGGCGGGAATCGCTGGATCGACTGCGCCTCATACCTGCCTGCACGTTCCCCGTTGTACCGGCCGCTGACGGGGGTGGAGAAGACCGAACCACAGCAGGAAGGCAGGGTGCGTAGGCCAGAGCCGCCATGCGACACTCCTTCGTTGGCGGTAGGCATTGTGATGGTAGTGGTGGCGGCGGCAAACGTAGCGCCGATTCGGCACCAAAATCTCGAGTGCTTGAGCGAGCCATAGAAAAACGGAATTCCCGAGCAGCCTCCTCTATGAAGGGACGCTGAGAGCGGACAGATGAAGATATTAGGTGCAAAATATCTGACTCTGAGACATTAAAATTAGTTCGAGAGAATTGAAATTGTTTCGGACCCTCCATCTTTTGGTCAGTATTCCGGAATCCTGTCACAATCAGGGATTTATTAATTACAAGATGTCTCGCTTCAAATCATTATGCATGATGAGGAAGAAGTAACGTAGATGCAAGGCTTCAAGACCCTTGATTTTACTCCAAATTTCTGCTTGTCTTATTCACATATAAACCTTCTTCAGGAATGCAAGCAAATTTTGTGAACAAAGCCTTCCAAACCATTGACCGATGTCCTTGAACTGTATCAAAATCGGTTCTATGAGATTGAGAAATTCAAAATTGATGCTCCATTGCAAAGGGTTCTTTTGTTAACAGACTAACTTAGATGCGACGAGAGGCATTACCAACACTGCATAGTCCATAAATCAAACAAACGCGCCGCTGCATATCTTCAAATGACATTTTTGCGCACTACGCACACCACTCCTGCAAGGCACCGTGTTGTCCCCAAAACACCTCACCAGACTTTTTGTTTCCAACAGCAAAACGATTTATCAAATTGGGTTTTGTAACAACATTTCACCTCTTTGAGGGGGACTTGCAAGTCTCAATGATGGCTGTTTCAACAAAAACCTTTTCATGATGTTTCCTTCGCTTTTTTACGGATTTTTTTGCGTTACCTTTTGTCATACAGATAACCAGTATGGAGAGGAAAATATGACGCTCTTATAATGGCCTTAACTATCAACTTCAAGACAAATGCGACACTACCGGGATTGGAGGTACGATGATGAATGATCACTGAAATGCATTCAAACACTATTGCCCTTGACGAATTTGGGGATTTCTTTAAAGTAGTGCCTACTACTGAATTGTTCCACAAGTAGTTGACATTTTAAATCAAGTCTGCTCCCTACGAAATAATTTGGCCTCAGGGTTGAGCTGATGTACCGAAAGCATGCTGCTTTTTAGTGTACACATTTAGACGCTGCTACTTTCCCTCCATTTCCTCCTCACGTGAACACTTAACCAGATCCCAAATTCATTTACACCTGGATTCTTCTTTAAGGGACACACAGACGGTACAAAAGTCACCACGAAAGGCTAATCAGACCGCATGTTGGGGAAACTGATCAGGTACTACTAAGTAGATGTGGGACTTTAAAAATTGAATAAACAATGAGGCTAATGCCCCCTATTTTGACAGCTCACCTTGGTAATGGTGACACGATGATAGACCTTGTATAGGAACTCCTGCAAGCTGATAAGAACGGAGGATCCAAGACCAATGAGGATCATGACAAAACATCCGCCGACCTGTTCCAGACCGAGAGTACTGGTGTCCTTGCTCTTAGTCACCTTTTCGCTGCATGGTGTAGTGATATTGTAGTAACGCCACCAGTAGTGACGAATCTGCTCCAAGCGTTGTGAGGCCTGAAGCTGCAGAATGACCTCTGTGAAGGCGTCTCGGTATTTGGAACCTATGCAAAAAATATTTTTGGTGACTTCTGTAACACTCCAACATTAAACTGCGTGGGCTCTTCATTCTCCGCACATTCTGGTTACCGTATTGAAGGCACGATGTACCGTACATCATTTCTAGCAATGGCTCCATCAGCCCTTCCGTTGCATCAAGATTCCAACAGACGGCAAAGTCTTCTGATCGTACTTTAGGTGTCACATATCTGGAGGTATTAATAGACTCTGACCCGATTGAAAAAAAATTTCGATTTCTTTGACATATGTCAAGTATGTACGCCACAAACTACAGGCGTATGCTGCAATGGCTCCCAACCGAAATGCTATTGAAGTCGCGTCCAATAATGGCAGCCAAGCATTTTCCTAATTTCGACTAGGCGGTTAACTGGAGAAGTGATTTATAAACTACCGTCTAATTAAAGGAAAAGGAATGCAAAGTATTCCCAAGAACAGGCAGCAACTTTGAAACCTGTGACATTTAAAGAAAAGGATATAAATCTACTCGGGAGATCGTATCAGTCAACCAAGTTCCAAAATATTAAAATCTCACTAATTTGACTGCCACAAGAACTGATTTGGAATCGAAAGCGGTAAACTAAAAGAGTATGTTGTAGTTCCGAGGGAGACCAATACCACAAATGCTGAGAGTCCGCCAACCGCTTCATCACCTTAAGTATTGGAAAAGAAATTTTTTAAATCGCTCAATACACACGAAGGGAAGGAATGAACTGACCTTGTGGGAATCCGATTCCATAGCCCTTGGAGTCGAGATTATCCCCGATTTGGGTGAGATCGCAATTGCGTTGAGTGAAGTATTCGTTCATAGTTGACTCGAGAATGTAGGCATAGCCGCCTCTTTTAACTCGTGCTATCGCCTCCGTTGCATTGTTGATCATCACACCCTTCTGGCTTGACATATACTGCCACATGCGTTGATACACTGATTGGTTAGATTTCTAGGGGTCAACGGTCAACTATTGGTGTACTGGTAGGAAGGCCGATACTACATGTTTTCAAAAGCTGTTGGCAAGGTGAGACCAATCGCACAACAACTAGCAGGAGGGATCGACCCATCAGACCAAATTCACAAACTACCGCTCAACTTGAATGGCTAGATTTCCAAGGACTAGAGGTAATTGCTCAAAAGCTAGAAATCGAATTTCGCAAAATTTGACTCAAGTTGACACCAAATAACGGCATATTTCAGTTCAGTTTCAAAAACCGATCGATTTTTTACAAACTCAAAACAAATTATATTGTCGTGAGTTGATCAGTTGTTTAACTGTGTTTAACTGCACGGACACTTTAGTTCATGCGGGTTGTGTTTCAACTGTGCGGCACGATCGTCAGGCCATGATAGGAGCCTCTCACCACTTCTCTGCATTAGTAAGTAGCATGTTCTTCCTTGCTACTTTGACTTATTATGACTTCGAGGAAGAATCCGGACGGTGGAGTACAATATACTTCCATGCATTATGTTAAAAAGGCACTGTTTTTGTGACCAAACTTGTCAACAGTCTCCCTTGAGCTAAACATCGGTACTTAAGAAACTTGACTAAGTTGATAAGACCGAGGATGGATTTCAGCTGTAGTTAAAGAAGTAAGAAAAATGTTAAGCTTAAGGAGTCGTTGGGCAAAATCATTTCCAGAGACCGTGATATTGGCAAGCATCACAGATTTTTTAAAAAATAAAGGGAGGGGGGAGGTTAAGACCTCATATTTTGAATCTCAAAGTTCTCTGATTTAATTGCTGCTTTAACTAAGAGGGCCCTTCAAGCGGCTCACTTTGTACTTTCGTCTTAGCACGGCGTAGCTGTCTAGCCCCCCGACCCTTCCGTATGCTAATAAGGGATTTCCTTACTACGTCTCTGAGGTGGGTTCAAGACACTACAAAGCAAGAGGATTGACCCCAACTTTTGAAGCTGGTTTTTACACTCACCAGGTTTCCAAAGGGACCTAAGAGATTTAAAAAAGGGCGAAAGTTCATTTTTCGGTGAAAACTTCCTTAAAGTTGTGATGACAACAGCCCTGAGTCATGTGAGTGTTTCATCAAATTTTCTGATTAGGGAATGGTTTTCCGATGAAGTTGTGATCTCCCTCCTTCCCTTCTCTCAATGGCTAATATGGATGATGAAAATTTAGCATTTCAGAAGTATTTGACTTTACCCATTTTTTGGAGAGAAAAATCGCCAACTTCTGCGGTGGTGGAACACTTTGTGCATCATAGTAGGATAGACAATAATTTCATCCTCCTTGTTGGACAAGATTCATTTGTCTACCACTTGTCTTGTGAACAATGAATTAAACAAATGTCGGCAGAAGGATCCCTGAAATATTTTCTGCATTGAGATGATCACCGACCCCGTCTACAATCCTTGCACAAGCTTGCAAATTCAATCTTTCGCAGCCCTTTTTTTCTTTAAAAACAAAAGTTGGCTTCGTCCCAATAATCTCGGCTCTTGCTTCACCTTTGTTTTTTTTCAAGTGGCCGTCCGATTTTGCACGCGATCATGCAGTTTTTTATAGCTAACGCCAAGAAAAGGCAATAACAACCCTCTGAATATATGTTAAGGGAAAATTTCGACAATAGAGCATAAGGAATCAGTACCTCCTTACTACTTCATCCTCACTTAAGGTGTGAGGTCTTCCTATCGGCAAATTATGTAACGTCAGTGACGTAAGGCCTTGGATGGCCTTTCAAGAATAGGACTTCCTTTCTTTTTCTGATTCAATGGCCCTTAATGTTTCCGACGAAGAAATTTCCTTACTTACAATTTATGGTGAGCAAACAAGTAAACATGTAAGGAAGTCAATAAAACCTAGTGAATACTTGCTTCTGCAATGCACCACAGAAACACAAAACATGTAGAGTCGTATGAGGTTGAAGTGGTGCGTGCCCCAGAAGGGTTGTGGGTAAGAAGGAAGTTTGGCGATAGCTGCTGATGTGGTCGCTGTGTTAACGAACGGCACAACATAGAAAATGCCTCTCATCATATCCAAGTTAGTCGGTTAGCAAATGAACCTTTCCAATGGAGCGTCTTTGTATAAGATGAATAAAATAAAGGACGAAGTAACAGCATTTGCATTGGAGGGTCATTGCCTCTCATGTGGTGTTCCTGAAATTGGTAATCACCTATCTACTTACTTCACAGATTACGCTACTCTGCCGACTGATGTGGGTGGAAAACCAATTGTTGTGCCAATCACCTGAGGCATGACTACCAGTTGTGGAGACGTTCGTCATCGAATGACGCGTCAATAGTGGCACGTGCTTCTTCTACACGATGCATGATACATCAGTATATGAGCGAATCAGTGAGAGAATCAAAATGATTTCTTGAGAAGCATTTGAAGAGTGCGTTCTGGTAGCGCACCTTCTGCCAATGGGTCTGCAAGCTGGAAGCAGATGTGTCTGATTCAAGGGGCATCTTATGAAGTGGTTGGAGGAGAAGAGGGAATGGGGAGGAAGAAGATGAGGAGTACCGTACTGGTGGAATTCCATATGTTTGTCTTTGTCCGGTACAAATATAATTGAAACAATAGTGTGTCTTTTTCAGGTTCCTTCCCAAAAGTTATGGCGACAATGCAGCAAACCAAACCGAAGACCGCACAAGTTTTGAGGTCAAGGTTAGAAGGGATTGTTATTAAATTTTAAATACGCATATGCGACTAGACTAGTCCAACAAAATCGTGATTCATGAACCGATGAGAGAATGAACGATTTGCACTTTTACAAGATTTTGATAATTCTGACAAGAAGACCTTAAAAATTTCGAAACAACATGCCTTTTAAATTCAGATAATTGCAAACAGGATTTTTGTATAAAAGATAAATGAAATTAAGTTTGCTTTGGTGAAATCTGTTTGGCTGAATAGTTTGCATTTGATCAAACATTTTCTTTTACGCGTTTACTACCAGTGTCGCATATATGTGACGCGTCGTTTTTAACACCATTTCGCGTGTCTCAGGCAGGGTACCTATACTTTAAAATTTAATATGCGATTCTTCCTTTGATTCAAAATTAGCTATGCTTTTTGGTTTCTGAGCGACATATCTTAAAACGGAACCACTTCCTTAATGTGCTCTGGTGGTCAATTTCCCTCTTAAACTCGGGTGAGGAACATGCTGATACTCTCCTTATTCATCATGGTCGGATTCCATTAAAATGAGCCGATTGATCGCTCTCTCTGCAATAGAAAAACAAGCGTTGGAAAAAAATGCCTTAGGGCTTATGTCCACATTAGTCTAATATCATTTGCAAGGGAGAAAACCTGACTAAAAATAGACTTAACTTAGATGTGACATTAATGGTTAATTTCTCTTCATCCCCCTTGCCTGTGCTCCGTCCCAATTTTTCGTCGTTTAGCTGTTGTGACTGTAGCTAAATCGACAGCAAGGGCGCCTTATTTTAAAAACTTTCAAGTGTACATAGAGGGGGAGGGAGAAATTTATGCCCGCGATAAGCCTGATGCCCTAGGGTACGCCATTCCTTCCCCGTTGGTGGGATTCATCTATAAACGTCTTTGTTGTCTTCATTCCAGATTGATGGTTTCTAGGCGAAATAGCAAAGGTGCCTATTCGCCTAGCAAAAGTGACACGGTAAAATTAGAAGAATTCATGCTTCTCCTCTCGTAGTTAGGATCAGGATTGAGGCACGGGAGTCCATTCAGCTCTCTGGCTTCATTAACCGGCGACTTTCTTGATGAGTCGATGCAATATCTTGCATAACTGATCAGCCAATCGTCCTTCAAGGATCAAAACGTATTTTACTATTATTTTTTTCATTAGAATTGATAGATACATCAGTTTTACGTTATAAACCCATTTTAAATCGTTTCTTACTGTCATCCATTTGAATGAAAATTTTTCACTAACCATCTGCGGGGAACTTTTTGACATTCTGTATAAAAGCCGATAGTCATTTGACGGTTCCTTTCTTTAAAATTTGACAACTTTTAAATGAATTCTTCTTTGCTTGCGGAAGAATGATCACAGAAACAAAAACGAGTCGATAAACAGATCCCCGAGACTCTTATTTCAAATCGGAAATATTGTTCATTTGTAATCATGTAACTTCAGAAGGAATGTCGCATTTTATTGAGATTTTTGTCCTCAGCGATAATCGCAGCCATTCTGTAGCGTTAAAAGACCTCAAAACTTGGTAATAGGATTATCATCAGCCACGATCGTATTTTGCCGGTGATGAGAATGGATGGATGACCTGAAGAGTTATCCCTGGAAATCACTCAGTTGATGCAATTCATAAGAAAGCAATCAACAACTGTACTGATACCAGGCCTAAAAGATTTAAATGGCAAAAAAGTGGGACTACATACGCATTTTCTGGAAGATGTGTTACTCACGCCAAAAATGATGCAGCAGCTGAATAAGAATGGGAGACTAGATGCAGAATATTGACTCCATTTAGTTAATTCAAATGGCTCTACTTTTAGGCAGACATCCTGAAGAATAGCTTTTGATAGTTGAACTTTACTGTAGAATGTTGGCCAATGTAGAGTAGTAAAAAGCCAATGGACTCACCCTTTTTAATGCAGTTCATAAAGGCAACAGAGGCCGGGGTACAATGAAACGTGGGACTTGAGATTGTATGAACTCTACCCTCTATGAACAGCTAATGACAGCCATTTCTGACTCGTGTGGTTTTTACAACACCAACTTAAAGGAAGACGTAGCTATGCAAAACAGCGACTTTTACTTTACACATTTAGTCAACCACGTGGGCTCCGTAGTTCATCCTTTTCCATAGTGGTATTCCATACCACGACTGCAGGTATGTTTCGGGACTGATAATTTCAGATTTTCTCAATAAGCAATTCTAAATGACTAGGGTGATCTTTTATTGGCTAACGAATTCCTGTCAGTTTTTTTTTTCGGCTTTTTCCATCACATGATGATCCTATTACCTCACAGTGGAAAAAAACTAGATTCGCGAATTACTTCTAAGCATGTAACACATTTCCTCTAAATACAACATTCTTCTTCCTTGCATCTAATGAGATAGGGCTCCACCTTGACAACAATACAACTTTTAAAAAAAATTAATCTCCTTCTAAAATTTTTTTGTTGAAATGCCTGTAGGAATTCAAATTTGACGTGTTTCTGCAAAGAAGCGAAATTTGGATAGGATGGAACTTTGTTAAAAATTATGGGCACACTTAAAGAAATATATCTTACTGCGAAGAAGGCCGCAGAGGAGCCGCCACTCCTTGTGCCATACTTGATCTTTGTCTGTTTTGCCAAATCATTAACATCCTCAATCGGCGCCTGCATCCTTTCCACTGTCAAAAAGGCGGCCAAGTTGGCGGTGTAGGAGGAGATAATGATAAGGGTGAAGAGCCACCAAAATCCCGCAATTATCCTAGTTGATGTTGCTCGCGGTAGAATGTCTGACCCTTTAATAAGAGAAGGGTTGAGAAGAAAGTCTTTTTTTCGTTCCACCTGATTAACAATAGATGTTGCAACGGGATATCCAAAAGTGGATAACAAAATCATGATTAATTAACTATTCCTTATTTTACTATTTGTATATGCACAGCTATCCATTAATCCACCCATCCTTCAATCGCCAGCTATTCACTCACTACTCCATCCAGTCATTTTAGCTCACTGCCGATAGCGTAATATAGTGTTGCATGCCTTTTTGGCTGATGACCCTTGGCCGTGCAAGTTTTAACATTCATTGAGTCCTTGACATTACTGGTATGTTTGCTGGGAGCGTCCTCCTCAAGCACTGCAAATCAGTGGAACTAGGGACTGAATTTGTGAGGGTTGTAGGAGTGCGAATGGATATTTTCAGCATTATAATGGACACCCTCTGAGCTAATTATCGTTTTGGACCAGAAATTTTGGGAATTACTTTAAACGCATGAAGCGGGTTGGATATATATCAAGGGTTTTAATTACTGAGAGAAATAAGATGTCTCTTAAATGGGTAGTATGGTGGCCAACATCATCTCATGATTACGGCAACAACTAGCTAGGTAAGTCCTTATTTAGTTTTAATGGGGGTCCCTATCAAGTGAGCAAAAAATCCCTTGGGCTTATGGGCTTATCCTGCTACAGTAACATAGTATAGTTTATGCAGTCTTGTAAAATTCTTGTGGATGTTTGCATCTTTTTATGCAAAGATTTGGATCAATCTGTCGACAATCCATTTGGTGTTCTGTACTCTTTAAAGAAAAACCGTTTGACGGCAATGGTGGATTGTTTTAAGAATTCAAAATCAAATACCTTAAATTAAATTAATATTAGCTTAAAAATAAAAGTTTTATTCATTTGTTGATAGTAAAAAAATGCGTCAGAACCTTGTATAAGATTTATGCAATGAATAAGAAATCTCTTGGTATAACCGACGTTTTCCAGCCAATAAAAGCAATTAAGTAAAAAAACCATGGTGTAAGACTTCTTTCGACACTCCAAAACTTCAACAATTTTTTTAAAAAATTAATTATAAAAATGAGCATATTTCTTTCAGCCAATCAACAGCCAGCACGTAGATTCCAATCCAATTCCTGTGTAAAATGGATATAAAAAATACGCATAAATTATAAAAAAATATTTTAGTTGATTTTGCGATGGTGCCTTAAAAGCACCTCACGAAATCAACATAAATATTAAGAAGGGCAAAGCTTTCCCCCTATTAACCAATCGGAATTGAATAAAACCACCTACCTTGTTGCATAAGAGAGCCTATAGTAAACCACAGACTGTTGAGCATGTTGAAGTTATTCTTGAGTAATTGCGAGTCTACATTGCAGGGATGTGGGTTGGTCCACTCGTAAGGGCTGAACCGAGCCACGAAGAAGAGGCCTATGCTGACTCCCACGTAGGCTATCAGTACATAGCCCCAAACCTGTAACTCAAAACGAACATTATACTTGTTTAGCATCTTCTACTGATCAGGCTATCATCCAGAAAACCCCTGTGGCATTGCTTCTTGGCTATAGGTGACTATCGGAGTATGAAAGAAGCTGCATTAAGCCCGAAAACGTCTGAAATAGCCCCGCATTACCTTTTTTAGGGAGACCTTTCACCAGATCTTTAAAAACTTGTACTTATGGCAAGCACGACTTTTTCCATTTTCAATAATAAATTTGTTTTCAATTTAAATGAACTCTTCCCCGAGGGTTGGGGGACCCATGCCTTTGCTGATTTGATGAGCTAATTGTGATGCCTTGGGCTTTCGCCTGCAGGCATTTAAGTCCCGAAAGATTTTCCCTTGCCTAACAATATGACTCAGGAGCCATCTCAGTCGCCTCAGCCCTTCTCTACGCCCGTGATTTACTTTCCACCATACCATGCTGACTTTGGCAACGGATCAGGACGTTACATAACCCCGAATTCATTTCACCAGCCATTAAAAAACTCAATTAGAGGAATAAGATAATCTTTCTTAAAGTTTAGGAGCGACGAAAGAGCAAAACGATACAGTGAAGGTTATTTGGCTTCTATTTTAAGATTCGCTAAAAAATTGGATTAGACAAAATTCAAAAAGTGTTTACTTGTTATACAAAGTTATTTTCAGCCTGATTCTTTTATTGAGCATCATTAATAAATGCCATTAAGAGAAAAATATCAAAAAAAAAATACAGCGGAGAAATGGATGTCAACTTGAAGTCTCTATTATGGAAGAAAACGGAGGCACAATATTCTGAAATTCTAATATAACATGGTGAAGATGACATTTAAATATTCCTTACAAGTATTTGTCTGTTCGAGTTTGTTGATGACTTTCAAAGGAGCGGTGATTGTGCACTTGATTAACTTCTTAAGGTAAAGTACTGTCTTATTTTCCATAACTTTGGTAAAACGCTATGTGTTTAAATGTATGTCTGGCTAGGTGGATATTTTGTCCCCCACAGGTGCACCAGTGCCTTGGCATATTTGGAAGGCCATTCTTATACGAAACTTGGAGGAGTAGGTACCCAGCCTTTGTACGGTAAGAGGTTAGTGAACAAACAAAAGATGGACAAATAAGCAAATCGAGACAATCTCTACACCAAAAACAAGAGCCGGGAAGTAATAGGGGATTACAAGACCGCCGTATTTGCTTAGAAAGTGATATTTCAAGGGGAAATCTCCTAGCTGATTTTAAATGAGGTAAATGAGTTCAAAACAAACCTTTAAATATTTTGTGATTTTAGGTAGACCTAAAAAGCTCAAACATTGTCGACTGTTTTAATTTGGTTTGGATGGGGAGATTTTAGGGTAAACTGGAGAAGACAAGTAGGGTTATCTCACAACACTGCAAATGACGCATTAAAAGGTGCAGAAAGATAAGTCTCATGTAAACCCTTCTTAACTACCCTAAAGGAAGGAAATTTTGGGAAGAAAAATAAAGAATGCAAATAAAGCATCAACTCACAGTGGGTGAAAGGGGTCGAAGAAATGAAAAGAGACCTGGCTGCTTCTCCTCTGGTTTCTTAAAAATAATGCTTATCCCCAGATTCATGAATGGTGTCGTAAAGTCAATCACTCGTTCTCGTTCATAGCTTATGGTCAGCATGGCTACGGCCAGATCAGCCTTCTACGAAAGAGAAGAAAAAAATTTGATTGAAAGGTTGAGTCTTCGGATTAGCTAGTTGGCTAGAATTTGCTCCACTGTGATCGGTTTTTCTTCAAAAAGGAGGATGAGGCCGACTACTTGGGTGTCACCTTACGCGAAATTGCAGCTGTCCAATAATGCCATCCCAGACCTCTTGTCCGTTGATAATCTTTGCAGTTCCATAGTTACCATCTGTGACTGGATGAACGGTGTAATTAAATTCCAATGCTGCGGCACATTCGTCGAGGAGATCGATGCAAAATCCATGCCAGTCTTTCGGATTGCTGGATTTTTCCTCGCCTGCTGGACCTTTGTACATCACAAAAGGAATTTCCTGTTAAAATGCAAAAAGAAAAGTGTTTACGTTGTACTCTTGATCAATTTTCAATGCGAAATACAGAACTTTGCGTCTGCAGATCTTTCAGATTTCAAAGTTCTTCAGCACAGCAGTTGACCAAGAAAGGAGAAGAAATTGGGTTTTCTTTCCCTGTAAACTTCTTGTAAACGTTCGATTTAAAGGTGGGTAATTTACATAAAGGGTTCCAAAAAGTGTATTTTTTAAAAAGGACACATAAACACGCTCGTCGCCAGCATCGCACATGTGTGGCATATGTTCTTGAGCAGTTTCTCACAATCTATTTATCTGAAGTTGAAAGACAAAATAAACACCAAGTAGGCTTAGTTCAGGAAGAATAAATGTGTGTTTTCGCCCAATCTTTGAGGGCTATATATGCTAATAAAAGGCGCGATTTGTGAGCGCTTGCGGTCACTTCATCGCTACGATTGGCTAAGACTACCGAGTAAAATAGTATTTATCATTAATCACACAAAAGTGTTCTTCCTGACTAGCAGTTAGCTAATCCTACATTTTGGTGATAGGAGACTAAAGGTGCTTGTGGAATATTCAGCAAAGCTAGGAGCAAATGGCGTTCTGTCATACACTCGAAGCGAAGACCGGTGTGAGATTTATGGGCTGCATCATTGACCATTTACTCCAGATAGCCTCTTCTTAAAAACCCAGTGAAGAGAGTAAATTTGATACATGCTGATATTTGTTATGGCGCATTGCATTTTGATCACTCTTGGCCCTTTAAACAGCTTTGCTAGCTGCGTCACACATACGTGACGATCCATATTACCAAAATCCTGTGTCACATTTGTGCAAAAAAAGCAAACTTAGTGAGATCTCGCAAGGAAACACATTACAAATCTCATGTTTTTGGATGTTAGTTGATCAAAATATTGGGCAGTATGGTAGACAACTCACTTCAATGGTTGCGACTCGAAGAACTTGATCCTTGAGTTCCTTGTAAATTTCAGCTTGTGTGGTAGAGAACTCTTTTGTCACAACCAACTTGTCCTTATGATTCCAGTAGCCATACTAGAGAAAAATATCAAAAAGTTTACGCTATTATGTTCAACCAACTTTGCACAACAATAGAATGATATCTTGTTGAGGGAGAGACCATTGAGTTACCACCTTTTTGTACACCATAATACCGCTTGTTTTTGTCAACTTTATTAGGCACCCTTTTTTGAAATGGCTCGTTGCAACTTATCAAGTGAATGCGATTGTGTACTCAGCCTATAGATACGTAACCTTATTTTCAAGCCTTATCTCAAGAGATTTCATCAAATCTGGAGGATGTGGTCAGGACTTGACCGCTTCACAAAGTGAGTTTTAATGAAGGATCGTCTTGTTATTATCTGCGCTATAGCATTTAGCAAAGGTGTAAAAGGAAACCATACTACTTAGATTCATTTTAAACGATTTTTTTGAGTAAATCACTTAAAGATTGATGGATCAAGCTGGGGCTACACAAAAAGATCTCACTTAATCTGTTGGCTAAAGAAGGCAAATAAAAGGATTGAAACCTTCTCAGCTTTTTCTTTACGTCATAAATCCACTTCCATATGGGCATATCGGTCACCCTAGATTGTTTACTGACTGACGGATTAAAATGTAATGAGAAATGGAGAACAAACGGAAAAGATGCACTCACTATCCAACACTTCTGGAGTACTACTACATCCGCTAAAGATTCTGTTGTGTTTTCCCTTCTAGAGACAAATTTGTCTAAAAGTGGGTTTGCAGGCTTGTGTCTATTTGAAAAATGGTTTCAGGTTGCCGCAGTGGCCGCTTCAACCAATGCGATACCTAAAATACAAAACTCACCTCCAAAATCCCATCTTGATTCATTTCCAAAATGGTGATATTGGCATTCCTTCGGCGTCCATTGGAGTCAAATTCCACACAACCCGTTTGACCTCGAAATTCATCTCCTTTTACCTTATAATTGAAAGGCAGAGGCAAAATGAAAGGTTTGAAAGACGGAATTTCTAAATGTGGAAGACTCTTTTACACGGAGATTGCTAGAAGAAACATCTATTTTATGAACCCCTTAACTTACCTTTTCTACAAGGAGGTTTGGATGACTTCTCTCGTCTGCTCACCCCTTTTCCCTATTTAGACTGACAGTGTAGCCCTTACCAGATGAGTACTCGTGTCAGCTAATCTCTTGACCGTTACAATTTGAATTTTTGAGGTGTTCTTTTGCCGATAATGAGTCTGGGATAGGAAATAAACATCTTGAGGTGGAGGAGGGAAGATGCTTGTCCTCCTCTATCAGCGGAAACAATTTTATGCCCTTGAGGTTGCCACAAATTTAGAGCATGGTTAGCAAACAGCATCCATAATCCACTCTCCTGCAATCTTTTTGCCGATTGCTATCTAGTTTCTGGATTCTTCAAAGACAACCAAATATTTCTGAACTCCTTGATCCAATCATAGGCAGGCCTGTAATTGACCGCTACCTCAGTTTTAGTGGACGTGATTATTCTTAGGCTAAAATAAAGAAGCAAGCAATTGTCCGAATAAAGTAGTGAAGCAGTCTTCTTCCTCTTTAAAGAGTTCACATACAGAAAATCAAGTTATGCTACAGATAAAACAGTTCACTTGTTTTATTCTTCAAGAATGACTTCAAATTCTAATCTATTTTTTTCTGCCTTTAGGGACAAATAGTATACTAAAATGAATTATCTCTTGGAATTGCTTTGCACAATTTCCTTTCACTTCATTATACATGAAGGAGGGAAAGGATTTACCTCGAAGAGGAGTTGTGAAGTGGTTAACGCAAGCGAACATCTGAATATTAGAAAGGGGTAAATGCCAAATCAGCACCAAAGATGACACCGGGACTTTAGGGTAAGGCGCAGTAAAAGGGTGAGTGTCCTCTGCTACCACCTGTCAAACTGGTGCACGCACCACGGTCAGATTCACACAAAATTAATCAAGACAGAAGTGCTCTAACTATATTGTCCGTAGAAACAAAAATTCTTGTGAAACAAGGTATATTAGGAGTGGATATTTGCCAAAAAGAAGACTTTAAACTCATTGCCGCTCAGTTGTATTAAAGCATTTAAATAGTGTACGCGTTTTAAAAGTAATCGTGCGTCCATCGGAGTTATCGTCTCTGCCTCAGCCTTAAAGGTAATTCTGGGAAACGGCAAAACAGCACGTGAAACAGTTAGATCCTGGAAACCTGTCATGAAGCGGTTAAAGAAGCAATGTTTTTCGTGAAGGTGATTCAAACCAGTATAGTCGGTTTGCAAACTAAAATGAACTGATGAAATTGTTTTCCACCTCTGGTGAGATAAGTACATAAATATAGTAGAGAAATATGTCCTTAAACAAATGTAGTTGCTATACCTTGGAATTTGTCCCGGTTTGACTAGGTTTTCTGTCCTATGTCAAACATGATCACTAGGGCAGCCTGATGTTTCGACTTTGCTAGAGATAATAGATGATGACGGTCTCTGGTATCTACTACTCTTCTATTTTTAATTGTCGAATCATCAAATGCCCAGTGACCTTGACCCACGTGATTCAAACTCATCTTCTTTCACTCGATTCCAGAGTTGCGGAAATTTCTAGTCAAATTTTCTCTGTAATTCAGAGAAGGTGTGGTAGCATAGTGTGACGCTTAGACCTGATTCAAATGAAGGCCAGGAATATCACTTGTTCTTAATTATAAAGAAAGAATTTTGCATCGTTATTGACACTATTTCAAAATTGACGTACCCTGAAATTTTGATAATGTCTACCGTGGATACTGATAATGAAGCGACTTGTTTACACCTGTGACATCAATTGGAACAGTCGTGGGAGCTAAACAGTTGAATCCTGCCCACACTCAGTGGCAAGAGATGACGCACGATAGGACTGAACTACTGTCAATTTGTCCTTCACCCAAACATGTCGCGCACTTTATTTTGTCTGACATTTTTGACAAGATATGACAAGGTGCTTTAAGCTGACAAACAATTACTGATTACTTGCAAACGATCCTTTTGCGAACCCCAAATTCTAGGCTATCACTTCATCCTTCGAAGACTATACCGAGTTTCTTTTTTAATTATAGGAGAAAGTTGTATAAAGTAAAAATTACAGGCCTGCCTCCTCCTCCGATGGGTGGATCCTATCAACCAGCAACCTTAACTTTTTCGGTTAGAAACCTGATCCCTTTCCTTGGAATGTTTCCCCTCACTTAGAGCATTCCTA